TTTGACCTTCTGGAAATGTGTTCAACTAAGCACAGAGTAGGCTATAAGATGAGCATTTGATGAAAGAATCACCCAGCACTGCATGTAACTGACTGAACAGGTGGAATCATTAGTCTGGATCAGATCCCAGAAGGTTTTTATGATGATTCTTTTAAAATGTGACCATGTTCTTTCTGGGCAGAGTTGACTCGGTCGCTTCCAGGAACAAGAGTGTAATGTCGTATCAGGGCGTCTACCAGTAGATCTTTCTTTTAGTCATATGATACCATGCACTAACTTTGGGTAGTCATATAGTTTGTTGTAGCTAAACAAGTTGTCCATTTCTATTTTATTTTATTCTTAATAGAAAGTGTGTGCATGTACGAGGAAAACAACAACAGATACCACCCCCTGCCCTGCGCCCCTCCCCTGCCTTTTGTCCCAGCAAAAGGGTAGGTGTGATGGTTGCTCCAGGGTGGTCTGTCAGAGTGGTAATAAAGCTGGCTTTGGAAAGCCACTAAAGGAACTTAATTCTCTCCATTACCTTTCCCTATTATGGCAGAATTCTTTATTTCTTCCTAATCAGAAATTTTCTCCCTAAAACTAATGTTGCCTTCAGGTTGTGAAAATCTTGAATGAATTACTGGGTTGAGCAATGCAAGGGGGAATATAAAGAAGAAAAATACATGCTCAGTGGCTGGGATGGTAGAAAGGGTTGTCACTGAAATGTCAGAGCCTGTGTCAGAGAAGGAAGAAAAAACTTAGTGGCTCATCTAGTTTAGCTCATGCAAGGATTTTGCATTGCAGTTATTGCTACTGTGTTTCATCCAGAAAATAGAGAAGAATGGATTTATGGTAAAACAACAGATTGGGACTCACATCTCCTGAGTTTTATTTTCTGACTGTCAGAAGTTTGGTTCTGACCTTGGAGCTCTTCTCATATCTGTGTGTCTCACTTCTTCCTCTGTAAAATATGGGTAACAGTACTCCTCTAAGTACTCCTCTACTTCACAGTGGTCCTAAAAGGAACCGTATTTTGGTGTACTTGAGGTCCTTATATTAAATAGTAGTAGATATTATAAAGGGCCTAAACATACAGTGAAGTCTTAAAAGTTCTTGGGCAAAGGAGCATTTTATACGATACCTGAGGTGCAGGCACCGAGAGATGTTTGTGACAGCCCATTTTATTCTCTGACTGGCTCTGATTCTGTGTTTACAATTTACAGAGGCTGAGTGATCTCTGAAAATTGAGTGGCAGCAGTGACAGTCACAAAAGAGGGTCAGTAAGAACCTTTGAGTGCAAAACAGTGATGAGTGCTGGATTATTCAAATCAACACCCTGAAGCCTGAAAAGGAAATTTTAAGGCTTTGTGAAAATTATGACTAATTCTTTGTGCAGCGGCTGTGGTGCTGTAGAGGAATGAAATGGATGGTTGGGGGAAGGGAATAGGTTTGCATTCTGTGGGGCTATGAAGACAGTTTCCTTGCATCCTTCTCCTCAGCTCAGTCCTTGCTCAGTACCCTCTGCGGTTAGATTATTCCTTGCAGATAGCAATCAACTGGAAGGAAGTGTGTGTCTAATTTGCATGAGATTATTTAAAACAAAAAAAAAGGTCTGCATTAGTCAGGGTGATGGTAAACAACGCAAAGAGATGCCTTTTTATAATATAGCCGTGGCTCAGCTTTCAAAGCCAAATATAATTCACTTACAATTGGCAGTTTCCTTTATTGTTCCTTTTAACCTTTTGCATTCTGCATGGTCTTGATCTTGCTGCAACTCCAGAAGAACTAAAATGTTTGTTTTCCAAAGTGTTGAGAAAGTGTATTTGGAGCGATTCTTCTATTAAACTGAGGTGATTTTCTTGACATACATATTTGAGAGTTACATGAGACACAAAGCTCCAGTTTTCATGACATTGCTTTTGCATCCAAGGGAAGTGGTATTATTTTGGGGTTACCAGCTTCCTGCTAGATTAGAACAATGAATGGACCATGGATACTTTTTTCTATAATGCAGTGATAGAAGGACTGTGATAAAATAAAGCAAGGTGAGATATTGCAACAGATGACACTTTGATCTTGTTTAGAAATTCCCACTTTTCTATGTAATTAATATATCAAAGTTGAATAATTTGGGGCCTGGAAAACTCATACTGTGTGCATACATGTATGTACGTGGTGAGTAAGTCCAAAGGTAATTTTGATGAGTTAATTGTAATTGCCTTAGGATAGTCTTAGAATATCTTGTACATGTTTGTTAGTGTGTGTGAGAAATGACAACCATGAAGGCAGGTATATTTCTGAATCCACAGATGACTAGTTGCAGTGCAGACTTACTCCATATATATGCTTAAGGAATCAGCTCTGGGAGATTATTCCCCTGATGCTTGGAGGCCGAGATGACACGGCCTTAAAAACATCTTGTTCAGATGAATAAAAAGGAGGTGTTCCAAGGTGATGGCACTCCCAGTCTTCTCCTCTGATAATTAAGAAGGGACGTAGTTGTGATGTTCTTTTGTATAATGCCACTAGTACCGTGAACGAGAACATTTCACAAGGCACCAGAATAGTCCAGGGAAGTAACAACAATTTTAATTTGCACTGCTTTGCACGGGATTCAAACAAGGAACTCAAATGTGAAAGGTTTCCCATCTTTCTATCATTCACATCGGCTTTTTCTTCACAGTACAGCAGAGTTTTAATGCAAACAGTGATACTTCAGTGTCCCTACTTGGCAAGACTAGAATAATGCTAGAAGTGCATTTTATCTGCACAACATTTTAGGTTTTTTCTCAAACAGTATGAGAACAGAAGGGGCAGTATGGTTAGGCAACAATAAGCATTATTTCCTGCTCTTTTTGTAGAGTGAAGTAAGGATCCTCCATAACTTACGTATGTTTCTAAGTGTTAAATATTATCAGATTTGCTACCTTTGCATGGAAATAGAACAAAATGCCCTATTCTAGTGGGAGCCACATTTGCAGCCAGCTAATTTTGCCTCCATCTTCATGAAATTCCATAGATGCTAGTGATCTGCAGTGTTGGCATGTTTATGCTTTCTCCTACATTGGATAATTAGAAGCTGGTTAAAACAGTTTCTTTCTGATTAGGACTTTGCTTTTTAACATGGGTTAGACACCATAAATACTGCTTTTGTGACTAGAACAGTAGGCTGAGTTGTGTTCATGTGCCTTTTATTATGCTCACTGCAAGTCTTGTTCCATACTGTTAGGTGTGGTTTTGAGGCATGCATCAAATACAAGTAAAGGGGTGATTTTGTCAGATTGCAGGACCAGAGATCAGGAATTTTAGATTTTCGATACTGTTCCTGACACTGACAATATTCTGTTATGTTAGAGAAATCACCTAACTTCTCTGTGCATCAGTATCTGCCCTGTAGTGTAGATAGAACAGTATCTCATAGGAACTTACCTCATGTACTCACAGGAATAGGGGAAGATCGGATAATAGTTATAAAGCCTTCTGAATACCAGAAGCACTGTGTTAGTGCTTTATGATATTAAATAACATTTCTGAAACAGATTTGCGTATTTATTTCTGGCAATATTATTTGAGCTACAGATTATTCTGTCTAGACCCTCAGTATTCAGTGAAGTTTAAGATCCTGCAAAAATTTCTCAAAACTTAGGTAAAAAGCCCAGAAGCCTGGCCACATTGTATCTCCCGGTAATGTTAAAAAGCTAAGTGTTTTAAAGGATTAAGTTCAGGAATTTCATCTACTAGCAATAATTCATGGATCTTGAGTGGAGGTGATGGAGAGAAACTATTCTCCCATTTTTCTCCCACTGCTGTCATACTCATACCATTTTCCTCACTGTGCTCAGTTCCCACAACAACTGCGTGAGAATCAAGTGGTCTGTCTCTTCTAAATCTCTTTCCTTAAATCTATATTCTCACTTCCAGCATTTCTGAATGTTTTTGTGTACACACTGCACATATAATAAAAGGTCCTGAATCACTTCACATGTTCCTCATAGCAGGGGCACTGGCTCTCTGCTTCTGTATGGGAGAATAACATAACAAATATTACGCAGCTGTCCAGGCCCCACATCATGGTTGCCATCTGAGTACTAAAATCTTTTTCTAGAGGATGTTTTCTCCCATTGGAAAAAATAATCCAGCTGTGCTTCCCTCTTCACAGATGCTGGTCATTGTGAATCCTTTGCTGCCTTTCTTTTCCCCAATGTTGGCCAAATCCTTTCCATATGTTGTGGCCAAATACAGATGGTCATCCTGGCATTTCCTGATGGCAGGAGTGACTGCACCAACATGTGCCATGTGTGCAGTGTTACTACAGCTCTGCGTGAAATAAAAAACAGGCTACCCTAGGGCAATCTAATCATGCAGCGATAGGCCGGGGCAATGCTAAGCTGAAAGTTTGGGCTTGGCCTTGTTTTGATCTGTTTTGTTATAGTTTTATTTCCTCCTTACATTCTGTGTCCCATTCATACTAATCACAGTCAGTCCTGATTTTTTCTTTTTATTTCTGCATTTGTCATAAAATAAAGCAAATTATTCCCGTCTTCGGAAACGATCTAGACTAATTAGTCGTCTAACCCAATAATTAGTTTTTTGTTTCCCTGTCTGTTTTCATGCATTATTGTTAGTTTTTTCCCCTCTTTTTTTTTTTTACACCATTACAGATTAAAATGAGCCACATTTGCAGTTGATGGTATCTTTTTTTCGGGGGAAGAATGGAGAATTGCAATAGAAAGCTACTTCAAAAGCAGCAATAAACTCAAGGATAAATTAAGGAAATTGAATGAGCCACATTTGGAAGCAGCGTTGAGGCTAATATTCTGTCGCTTAAGGTTAAATTGCAACAGAGAAAGAGAGAGGGAGACATTCCAGTGAATCCAAAATTGGGGAGGCATTACTGCTCAAGTCAGTGCCAAAATTCTTTGCAGCTTGAAAGGGTTCTGCCTGGCTTGAGAATTTAATTATGCGTGCATCAAGTGGGTAAAGGTGCTAAACTGATTTCATTTCCTCTGCTCCCCCAGGCCTGACAGATGAAGAAATTGACCTGGCTTTCCAGCAGTCGGGCACAAGCACGGATGAGCCACAGTCCCCAGGTCCTTCTACACAGCTGGTGCCAACTCAGCCCTCTCACCCTGTGCTGTATAGTAAGTAACACTTTGAAAAACATCTGGTCCTGTCGCTTTCTGCAGTGATTTCTGCAGCAATTTCACAGATTTCTGCGCCAGATCCTAGATTTCAATTCAACTAATGCCATACTTTTTGTCAGAATCAGACGCCAAATGTTACTTTGAATTCACGTCATAGTTGTTGCTGTCTGTGACGAGATCATGTTACACAAGGAAAATGAAATATAAATGATCATCGTCTACAAACAAACATCATACGTACTAGCCTATGACAGCTCTTGGCCTGAAGGTGTATAGTCAATACAAATTGGATTCAGACCCACTATAAGGACTTGAAAAAAGCATTTAGTCAACGTAGGACTCAGTCTTCCCTTCTAAAACTTAAGGTCATGCTTCCCCTCATCAGTAGGGTTTCCTAATATCTAGATCATTAATATATGATAGGGCTGATAGATTCTTGGATAGAAGGTGCTATAAAAGTGCAACACTATTACATCTTTAGTTACTGCAACAGTGGACTCTGTTCAACAAACTGTTGGACATCATCACAAAATTTTTGTATTTTAGTTAGAGGACTTATTTTCCTAAACTAGTCAGGCAACCTGTCAGTTCAGAGAATCATAGAATATCTCGAGTTGGAGGGGACCCCTAAAGGATCATGGAGTCCAACTCCCTGCTCCTTGCAGGACTACCTAAAACTAAACCATATGACTAAGAGCGTCATCCAGACGCTCCTTGAACTTTGACAGTTAATGCTCCAAACAGTTACTTGAAAGAGGTGTATTTTCAGCATGAACAGCAAGCTAGAATATAAGGTCTGTGACTTCCTGTGTGTAAGTTTAAGGTCTGGCACAATGGACCCCCAGTATGAATGAGTTTTAAGAGTGCTATCAGGTTACAAATAATAAACAGTTAATAAGGATCCTTAATTTTAACAAGCTTTCTCTCTCCAGTAATCTGAGGGATGACAGCAGAAATTCTGTGTAGACTGCATGGAATATGATTGTATGATTTTGTGTACAAAATATACTCTCAAAGTATTTTTAAAATCCCAACATAATCTATGTAGACTCAAAATTTACATATATATTTGCATTTTAAAACAAACCTCGCAAAAAAGTATCTAAGCTCCAAACAATAAAAACCAAAGTACACACCATTAAAAATCCATCAAAAGAAGCTGTTCAGCTCACATGTGTGTCTGGCAGTTTGAAATGCACTTCACCTACCTGCCAAGTATTAAGAATAGGATTTTGATACTGCTTCTAAACAGTTCTCAGTCAGATATTGACTGATGTAACAGTCCACTTAGGGCTGTGTTTATTAGTTTATAGCATAATTTTGCTATTGCTAGAGACAATACTAGACTTGCTTTCTGAGTTTTTAAATACTCTGGTTTGGCACAGTTTGCAAAGAAAAACATTTGTGATGGAGTTGGGCTCAGAGCTGGAATATTTCTGACTTGTATTGGGTGTGCTGGTGAACTCCAGGACTTAATTCTGCCTCCTGGGCTAATACCCGTCTGCTGTAGTTCATAGAAAAAGCCAGAAGAGCAAAATCTGCTCTCTTGCTGAAGAAACAGTGCCAGATCCCTCCCTATCTGTTGCTCATTCAGCTAACTCTTTATCACAACCGTATTGGAAGAGTTAGTCTGTGCTTTATTTTATAGTGTTCCACTAATATGAGTAGGGCAGGAAAGAAGTATGCAATTCAAACTGGAAAATGTTGTCATCATTGTTAACCCCTGCAGCTTTATCACTGTGGGGTTTTTTTTCTCCTTTTACTATTTTTGCTTTCTTCAAAGCACCAGCTCCCAATTTCTTCTTACTAGGTCAAATCTCTTCTTAGTAGGTCCTAGGTCTTCCTTGGTACGTAACTAATTTTTAAACATCAAAATGTTCCCAGTAACAGCTCCAAAGAGAAGTCTGAAAGTATCGTTCTGTAATGCTCAGAAACCAAAGGTGAACAAAAATACCACCAAAGTCAAGCTTTTGTAGGGGTTGCAATTGTAAACTGGTGCTCTAGCTTCGATCTGATTGGTGCTTTTTAAATAATTTGAACCAAAAGCTTTTGCCTGTGAGCCAGTCTTTTTTAGCACCCCCCCAAATTGGGGAAATGGTGGCAAATACGTTCATTAAGTATTGTTCCTCCTCTCTCTAGCCATGCTTTGTAGACCTTCTATTTAAGCTTAACCTTTAAATTGATGTATAAAAAGAATAACTAACTAAATATACATTGTATTTGTTTGACCAAAATATTTGTTTTGATTAGGTGTCATGTGTGCCACATTATAGTCCTTGACTGGTGCGCTACTGGTGTTGTTAATGATGGATCCGTCTTTGTGTCTTCCTGTTAAATGCTTTCCATGGTATCAGAACTGCAAAAAGCATATGTGAATTTCTCTGGAGATGGTGGATGAGACTGTGCAGTGTCTCCGTGCTTTTTCAAGGTGCCTTGTTTGCTGTAGGTTATTTCATCAGTTGGATGTTAATCCTGTGATGAGTATTTCTGTATTGGTCCAAATCTGCTCCAGGACAGCTGTTTCTGTGCTATTTTACTAAGTCAATTTATCTTTCACAGATTTGTAAGCGATTGTTATGTACAGAGAAAGATAGATGCTACTTTTTCTGCTTATCTATCTATTATGCTTATCTTCTTACAGAGTATTCATTACACTAGTGTTGGAATGCTTCGAGGTTTCAAGTTCAAAAGTATATCTAAAGGACTAATGAGATAGATATAGACTGCTGAATCTGTAAGTTGACTTGTCGATGGGAACAACTTATATTGGAAGAGCTTACATTGAAAAAGATTATGAGCTATATTTGCCTTCCCCAAAGAAGACATTTGAGTTTCTTGTGACGTAGCATCTGACCTGCTGGAGTTCAGGTCTTGAAGACTGTGAACCACTTTGTGTGTGATATTTTTGGTTCTTTTTAAGGTTTTTTTTGAGTAGTTTTGACACCTCTACACAAAATCACAAAACTAAGAGAGAAAGAATTACCCCCCACAAAGCAAAAAGGAGAAATGGTTGAGGAGGGTGCTGTGCTGAAAAGCAGTAACTAGTGTCTTAAGAAACCTAATTTCTCCCTGTCCCCCCTCCCCACAAGGTGTTGCTGCTTCGTGTTTAAAACTCATAACTGTCGGTTATGAGTACAGAAGTTCAGGATGGCTTCAAAGCCATCTCAAGAGTTCATTCAGCACCAGAAGCTGAGTTGGTGATCTTCCCAGCAACTCTGGCATCAAATGTCCACTCTTGTGAGTCAGAGCAATAAATCCTGTGCACACTTTTTGATTTTTACTTGCTTGATCTCCTGCTGTTGTCAACTCAGTCTGTTCTGATTTTTAAAGTTGCAGGAAATAATTCATACCATTTAAATACTTCCTTTTGTTGAACTGCTAGTGTAGGTATTACTTAATGTTCTAAAGCTTTGTTGGAAGTAGCTGTTACCTATGTAAGTACTTTCTTATTTTTTAAGAGTTAATGAGAGAGAAGCATATGTGTAAGCCTTCAGAGTAGCATAGTTCTTACTTGCTGAACTCCTCCTGGGTTTGGTTTAAGAGAGGCTATAATAACTTTTGGGAGGAAGAGACAAGAATTAAGTTTCTAGACACTGTATTTTAGCTCAATACCATCTCTGCTATTTCTCCTCGTGTTCTGGAGGAGTAATTCCTTCCTTCCAGTTTGTACTTTTGCCAAGAGGTGTCAAAATGGCTTAAAAAAAAGGCTTAAAAAAAGCTTGAATTTGATTAATATAGAGAAACAAGACTTTGCCTGACTGATAATAAAACTGATAAATGACATTTGAATTACTTGTAGCAGTAATTTATTACATAAAATATCTTTTATTTGACATGCGATTAGTTGCTGGAAGCATCACTCAATCTGACTAGTTTAAACATGCTCTAAAATGAACCCCCAGTAAAAAACCAGGGCTGTCTGCTGTTGGCGTTATGAAATACACTAATCCAGCAGTGAGGACAAAAACCTGACTTTAAATATTTAAATGATTAATTGGGTTTATATTTTTTTTACTTTTCTAACCCTTTTAATTACAAGCAAACTCAGGGGAGTTTCTCAGCTAGGTGTGCAAAGCTGCATGCTTATCACCCAGGTATTGTCTGTGTTCTTCCCCATGGTATTTATGGTCTCCATTTATGGGGTTTTGTGCAGGTTTTACACCTGCTTAACAGTCATCTCCAGTGACTGTTTTTCTTGCCATTTGGATCTTCTTCTCCCACCCCTGTGTCTTCATTATGTGGGAGGCTGCAGAATACAGACTGTTTTCTCTTGCAATTAAAAATGGTAACTAGAGTCCAAACTCTTTTTTTTTTCCCTCAACCTCTTTCCATGGGTTCACTGTTTGCTCTTGGAAAATAACCTCTTCCAGCCTCAGTTCCTACAGTTTTAAATGTGGATACTACTGAGGCTGACCTTACCTGGATGCACAAACCCTAATTAATTGATATCAGGAAAGTTAATTCTGAGATGAATAGGGATCTTAAAAATAGTGTTTACTCTAGAAGTACAGTTTACAGTTGCTGCTGTGAAAATTAAGCATACTTACAGAGAAAACACAGACTTAGTGCTGGAGAAAAAGTCTGTGTCCCTTCTGTTTTGAGGACCCTCCCATGCCTTTTGAGGGTCTCTTACACAGAATGGTTTGTTACTTCCCCAGTGCCGAAACTGAAGAGTAACTGGGCTATTAGTGCTTTTTCACTTTCTCTAAATTTTATTCCAGTTCTACAAGTGGGGAAATTGAGGATATGCAAAGAAATTAGTGTGAGCACTGGGGTTACGACTGAGAAGCTTCTAACCCTCTCTCACCTCCACGTTTTAGAGTATTGCAGAGAAAAAGGAAGACTGAATGTGGATTTTAGGCAAAGCTGTGACATTCTTCATAACATTGTAAAGTTGATGTGGTCAATGCAGAGCCTTTACTGCATACCTCACTCACTCACTTTTCCTCTCCACCACCCTCACTTATTTTTGCCACAAGACAGAATTATTTCACACATCTCTAAAACGAGTAAAATGGCATTTCAGCTTCTTGTCTTTATAGACTCTCTGAACTTTAGGAAAGATCATTCTGGTCCCTTTTCATTAATAATGAAAACCAGGGGGCAATAAAATGTTCTTAGCTCAAGCATTACAGGAATGGAGGGAGAGATGAGTGAGGTGAAGGGGCAAAGCGGACAGGATCCTACAGGTGTCTCTCCTTTCTACTGAGAGGTCACCACAGCTAGCAGGTAGTTAGGGACAGCCAGTCAAGGACTGCCATGGACAGGGCGCAGCTGGACCCACAGACCCTCTGACATTAGTTAACCCTTTACAATAGGCTGTTCAGCCTGGAACGAGTTGCATTGTCATAAAAGGAGGTTTTTAATCAGAAGTGAAGGACAGAGAACTGGACAACCAAGAGACTTCAGATACCAGAAATGACAGTGGGAGCAGAGTAAGGAGGGGAAAGTGGGATGGATGACTGGGGTTTGCAGCAAAATTAGCCAGAGATCATTTTAAATCCTGACATGTACACAGCCAGTTACTGCAGCTTAGCTGACGTGTGTTAACTCATTAAGTTAAAAAGTTATGGTAATTTGATCATGTGCCTAAGCTCCAAAACTGCAACTGCAGCAACCCAAAATACTGCTGGTGACACTATTCACCAGTTCTGACAGAGCTGCTTTAATTTGTTCAGATTTCTAGCCAGCGGATAATTTGAGGCGCTATGTCCTAAAATGTAGCAAGCTATGAGTGCCAGTATTTGAGAGTCAGTGCCTGTCTGAGGGCTGGGAGTAGGAGTAACTCTTGCAATGAAATGCCTGTAGAAGATCTCAACAACAGGAAAAATGACAATAGGTGACCAAAGCAGAAAGGAGACGAGCTTCCAGCCATTTTAGCCAGTTAAGCTTCCCTTTGAAAAGCCTAAATTGAAACTTTGGAGAATAGAATGCATTTCTGAGGCATTGTAGGTCACATGTAGATTTAGATCTGTCTGTTTGGATACTGTACACCGGCCTCCACCTCATCAGTTCTACCCACATCCTGACACTGAACTTTAGGAAAGATCACTCTGCATCCTCTTTATTATTAAAGAAAACTGGGGGCAGTACAAGATTCGTTAAGGGAACTGCGAGGGAGGTGAAAGGATAAAGCTGGTGGAAAACTACAGGTGTCTTCTGATTCTGCTTGAAGGAGCAGAGCATACCATATCTTTTCTTTGCTCTGTGGAGTCGCTAAGCTTCTGTGCAGAATTGTGTGTTAAATATCTCAAGCTTTTATGTACTTCTTTACCTCTCTCTGTAGATATTTAATTGCATATTTTCTCTCTGCTATTTATGGGTGCTTTGGTCCCTATTCGTAATTCAGGCTGGAAAGACACTGGATCCTTCCTTATTGAAATGGTCCGTAATTGCTGACACAGTCTTCGTAAACCCATTTATTGCCCTGATTTCTCTTCTTTCTCAAAACACTTCCTTCTTTCTGTTTTTGTGCACTCTTCTGGGTCTCTGGCTCTGTCCTTGTTTTCAAAAATTATGATAGTGAAGAGCAATTGGTATTCAAGGAATGAGTTAACCTTAGGTAGCTGTCTACAGACAGTTATCTGCAGAAAGTGCAGTAGGATTCAGAGTGCCTTCTGCAAGAAAAGAGTAGGACAGAACAGCTTGATGGAACTTTCTAAATTGCTGCTCTGATTTGTCTCCCTTTGACACCTTGTGCAAGGCCAGTGTCAATGCTAGAGGTCTGGACAGATGTTTCAGTGTCCTAAGGCCAGAAGCCTGCACACTGTACATGAGGGACTACCACCATCTTCATGCCCCCTGCTTAGTTAATCTATGCCTGCTAAGATACAGCAAAACTGTCATTATTCATTGCTCTTTTCTCTGATAAAAATGGGTGTATGAAAATGTTGTCACCTGCAGTTCTGACTATGATTATTTCTTGATTTTGGCCTTTAGGTCCGCCTGGCTCCAGATGGCGAGATTATGGGGCTTTGGCTATCATAATGGCAGGCATTGGCTTTGGGTTCCACCAGCTCTACAAGGTAATAATCTCCCTCACTACTCTTATACTGTACTCTGAGAGAATGATGTTATGCTGCTTGTGTCCAAATAATCATGTCGGTTCCAAGCTGGTGAAGCATCTCTTTTCTTACTGGCACTGCCACTGGTATATTTGAGAAATGTAGATATTTAACAAGAAAAGTTTTAAAACTCGTTTAAAATTACTTCTCATAGCCTGTCCTATAATTAATTTTCTGTGTCTTGGGTTAAGAGAGAGAGGCCAGACTAAGCAGCATGTTCCATCTATGCAAGTAAAGTTACATGACTCAAGAGAATGGCTTTTTATCAAGATATATTGGCCCTGTGTTTTTATATTAAAGTAGTGATGCCAACCTTACTGATGTTTTCATTCTTGCAAAGAATGGTGGGGCTAATAAATGTCCAGAGAGATGTTAAGACAACAGCTGCTGGGCATTGCAGGCCTGAACATATTGCTGTTACTAAATGACACATATCTAACACATATTGATGATTTACATAAATTTTTTGGCATAACGTCACTGATGCCGTTAATGTATCCTACTGCAGTATTCTTTGTTTACAGATCTTGCTCTTCCATCTATCCAAACCTCGTAAGGCGTATTATGTGCCTAGCAGAGATCCATATTCTTTCATAGGAGTAAGACATCTTTGGGGACAGTTGATAAATTCCCTCTACCCTTCATGGGATTTTGAGGGAGTTTGCAAATAGTGATTTTTATGTGAAAGATAGGATGCTAGGATAAAACACAGTTGTCCTTGTGTGTTCTGTGAAGATTAAGAGAGAACTGTTTATGAAAGTCATCAAAAGCTATTTGCTTTTCAGAATGTCCTGAGTGTAAACATATATGTGTACCTGTGCTTTGTGAGGGTAAGCGCTGTGTGCAGCGACACTGAAATCCGAAACCAATGCTATTAAACGTAAAAGAAGGCTGTCCCACACGTGTCAGTTTGGATAATCAGCTCTGTCTCAGAAATCATCCTGTATGTATGCCCCAATAGTGGGTGTACATGCATCAAAAGCCAGGATGAGAAAGAATTGATAGGCACTATCAAGGCTGTTTCCACATCCTAGACCATCCTTCTATCACATTTTTTTAACCTGACATGTTGTGCTTGGATGTGCCCGTGTTGAAGTGCGTATTCAGTTCATAGGAGCAGTGCTGCAGAAGGATCCATTGTAGTTAGAGGAGAATTGTGACCTGTTAGATCCAGTCCATCCTCCGCAAGGGCAGAATGAGGCAGATTTCATGGCTGTGTGCAGTGTCACTGAACTGCCTCCTGTTCTGTACTAGCTTGGTTCTCACTTCCTTTAGTCCTGGTTCCTTAGTTCTCTCCCCTGTGCTCCAGATCTCCGCTTTTCCTTCCGTGACTCCTAACCCTTCCCCTGCCAAGGTTCAAAAGATTTCATAATACCTTTCATTCCCTGGCTTGTGCTTCCTCTGGCCTTTCCTGGGCCTTTCTCCTCCTCTTCCCACTTCTGCATTTCTTGCCTTGTGGATGTAGCTCAGATGTTGCGACACATCAGTGTGTTCACATTCAAGAGTGTAAGATCTGAAATTGTACTCTCTCTGTGACGGATGTTTTTCTGGACTGAGAGCTGTCTCGGGAAACCTTAAATGGAGTTAGGAACTGTTTTTTAGGACCACCAAAAATGTAACCGTAGAAGTCATATCTTCTGCAACTTCATTTAACGCCTACTGTAGAGGGGATTTCTTTCCTCAGCCAGGTGTGTGGATAAATGGTCACTGGCTCTGTGATAAAGGCTGAGGGTTGGGTGGTGGGCTTTGAGGATGTTTCAGGTAGATTAGAAAGACCACTTTGCATATTCCTATTTCCTAAAAAAGTTTCTGTACTCCATGCAGAAATACCTTCTTCCTCTCATCATGGGAGGCAAAGAAGACAGGAAACAACTTCAGAGGATTGAGTCAAACATTTCTGAGATGAGTGGCAGTGTGACACAGACAGGTAAAGATTAATGACTCCATCAATTCACCCCTCAAAGCTTTTCTCCCTATATCCTCCATTCCGCCAAGACCCCCACCCTTTTCTTTCCCTCCATCTCCACTTTATGTGGTGACTTCATTTATCTGCTCTGAGAATCTGTTCACATTTGCAAATGAAGCCGCCGTCATTTCGGTTTAATTTGAAATTGCTTGTTTACTGTCGGCGCGGCCTCAATTAATTATGTTTTTACGGAAAGGCTCCCAACCTCAGAATATTAATAAGGGGAATAAAATGACAGCCTTTTGGAGGGCTGTAAAGTTCATTTTTAATTTCTGCCTCTCTGATGTTTTCAGGGGCTTTTTTTTGGTGTTTTCCCCCCACCTTCCATCTGAAAATCCAAGAAAGGGTCAGGAGAGTCTGTAATTACTGTGCCTCCCTGACCTTAGCCACCTTCTCTGTTATTGACTCTATAGGGTGTCTGTTCATTACCCGATGCCCTAATGATGGTCTGGATTAGCTGTTACCTGTCAGACCAATAGAGTCTTAAATTTTATTTTATTTTATCAGCTTGTTTACTGCCTGGAAGCTTTGGATAAAGTACCAACGTAGAAAAAGTTCTCCTACAGCTGGAGTTGGAGTCCAGCAGAAGTTCGTCAGTGTTTGCTGTAGTGCAGGAGGGGAATACAGGGTGTTCTCTTGAAATAAATAAAAGTGCAAAGTATATTCTGTTGGTGGGATGGAAAAAAGTATTATTTTCAGCAGTGAGCTTGTTAAAGATGTTGAGGTTGAAGGAGCTGGTGGGTTGAGAGTGGGAGGATGCTAATTACACTTTTTAGTGGAGAGTGAGAAGAAAAGCATCTTTTGTTTCTCATGATACCCTAAGGTCAATCCTGAGACCAGCCTCATCCCAGATTGGAGTTAGCCCCAGTGTTTGCCTGTGTGAGGCCCAAGATAGATAAATGATACAAACATTGTGTAAGTTCAGGGAGATGTACAAATCATAAACCAATATAATTAGAAGGGAGAGGTTTTGGACGGATATACTGTGGGCTATAGACATCTATACAATAGAAAGATAAACTAGAAATACTGGAGGTTAGATGCAGTGCAGGTAGATTACCCGTAGTGCAGATAAATCATATGGATTAAAGTGAGCAGGCGGGCGTAGATAAATTAAATATAGTAGGAATAGAGGCATCTTTGTAGCTAGACAGCAGGAAGGATGTGTGTGACTTCGTATACGTGCATGTATCTCAGTTTAACACTCTCCTGCTTTTTCCCTCACAGTGACTCAGTTACAGACAACTTTAGCAGCTGTCCAGGAACTGCTAATCCAGCAACAACAGAAAATCCAGGATCTTACCCAAGAACTGGCTGCTTCTAAGGTATCCACTTCCAACTCTTCACCTTTAGAACACTACCATCTTCTTTGGAACATGCATATCTTCTTTTGTGGGCACATGGAAAGCGCCTTACTAGGTTCACAAATCCAACCTTCATCTCTGTCATATCTCCAGCCAGTTTTTCTGCATCTGATTTCACCATAGGCTGTCTGCTTAAGGCACTGGATATTAATTGGATACTCAGTGTAATGTATCTAACTTCTGTGAGGGCTTTGTTATATAGCTTTGTATGCAACTTCTGAGACCTGTTCTCAGCTCTCTATCCTCTGCATTGCATTTGAGATTAAATAATTGTGCCATTAGTCCACTAACCAGAAGAGGTAAAGGGCAGTTGTGCAGAGGTTTTATCTATGTGTAACATGTAATTTCTCCTGTACCCTTGTACATTGTCAAAACAATGACTTCGTCCTGTTCAGCCAAGCACACACTTGAAGTACTGTATTTAAGTCACCTGTTCAGATCCAGGCCAGGTAATGGCCAAACAGTCTTAATATTTCGTTTCTTGTTTTAACGACGTTGGTCATCTCAGTGTAACAGGTGGCCCCATCATAACCACATTAGTGACAAACAGTGGCCTATTCCCCTTGAATCCTGACTTGACCCTGGCAATAAAACCATCCCTTCTGACTAGTTTGTGTTGTTACATGTGTAACTACAAGTAACCACTTTTAACCAAAATTGATTTTCTTTCTGGCAATGAGAATTAGTGCTTTTCATCTCCAAAGTACTTTGCAGCCATTTGGCCTTAGCATTCTGTTAGCCTGTAAGTGTGGGTTACATGTGAGGTGGGATGGATTTGAACCAGTCACATAGAGTTGAAGTCTTCCTTTTGCTCACAAACTTGCGATTATTCAGGGTGCAGTCATCCTGCAGTATTCCCTGTACAGGGGGAGATTTTTTACTGTGAAATCCCTTAGACAATGCTTACAGTCTTTTACCTATAACATGAGCAGTTGTTTTTGCCCCTTACCTATACTTTAATCTCGTACAAACTCTTTGATGGTGTGTAACTGGTGGGCCACAGCTGACTGTGTGGTGTGCACACTGTACAGTAGGAATCCCTCAGTGGCACAGCTGTAAACCCAACCATGAAAGCCAGTTTATGGTCACAACAGTCTACTTCAATTTTCCTTGGGAACTGTGGCCTGCCAGTGGCCTGGAGCCAGTCCGGAAATTGGAAAACTGTTTTCAGGTCTTAAGTGTTAAGATTAAGACCACATGTTGAGCTTTAAGAAGGAAAAAGGGCATAAGAGTCTTGGTGGTTTAGAGAGTCTTGAAGAAGTTTTTCCTCCCCCCTCTCTACCCCCTGCACTGAAATGGTAGCACACATTGTTATGATATCTAAACCTCATGTGTACAAAGAAAAACTTGGGCAACCCCACAAACCAAAGAATAAAAGCTGTGTTTTCTCAGCTGTAATGTAAGTTTTTATATCTGCTTTTCAAACTCCTACTGGTATGCTGTAAAAAATTAAAAAGAGGGACTTTAAGTAATTAAAAAACGTACATAAAAATTCAAGGCTTGAATTTTCTACAACTGTTTTTTAAAGAGACTGGCTAAAAAGCCCCAGATGTCAGATTTTATTTCTAAATCCTAGGCATCTGGCACCATATGTGTTTTGGAAATTTGAGTCCTTTGCAGGCCAGTGAGTGGAAATCACTCCCTTGTTAATGTGCTGCTGTAGCTTTCAAGGTCTTGGAAAGCCAGAACAGTGGCTCCTGGATTCTTGCTGTCTGAGGGCTGGGAGTGTGAATCCCAAGGGAACGCATCTGTGTATATCACAGCTACTACAGACTGAGCCTCTCCCAGCTCGCTGGGTTCACAGCCCAGAAGTCACTGTGAGGAGTGCTGGCTGTGAAGGTGTTCAGGGTTACTCAGCACTAGCTGAAGTCTGTTTAAAGAATAAGTAGGAACAGCCAGTTCTGGCTACATCTAGTAGGAACTGCTGAGGAGGAGTTTTCTGTTATTCCAGTCCTGGCTTCCTTTGTCAGGGGATTTACTAGTAGTATCTCTGGAGTGATGCTTACAGATGGATTCATTCCTAATGGCTTTTATCAGAAATTACTATGGGAAGTGAGTGTTCTTTGGTCCCATACTCAGCCCATCACTACAGGAGTTGCTAGAGTGATAGGATGGGTAAACCATAGGCCATTATCTGTCTTTCAGAATGTTCCTCCCATTTCTCAAATTCCCAAAAGAGTTAAAAGAAAGATTGCCAGAGTATTATCTGCAGCATGTTCTCCTCAGTTGTCACCTTACTCTAATTTCTGCCTGATATCCCATAGCAATTCCGATGCAGTGCTGACACCAGCTGTAGCAGGCTTCCATGAGTTACTTATCATCTTTCCCCACCAAATTGCATTCATTGTCTTGAAATATCCAAGAGACATTGCCTAGTCCAGCTGCTTCCTGGAGATACAATCTGGTAACTCAAGCATAGCTCTAATTCTTCAGATCTAGTAAGCAAAATTTTTTGCAAATTTCAAGCATTGATTTATCAGCCCACCTCTAAACACCACAGAGTGCAGATAATCAATTCTTCATTTAATGATTTAGGAGAAATGAACAAATGGTTTAAAATAGGTATTAATATATAATATTTGAACCTGTTGCCTCAGCCAAGTGCAGTCACAGGAAAGAGTAAAGGACATGATTCAGTGCAACTCCCACTGCCTTTCAGGATCCCAGTTCTAGTTCTTCTTCTCTAGAAATCATTCATTAGGTCAGCGTCAAATGATTTAGTTTACCTTTTTGTGTACTTTTTGTGTTCTCTGTCTGATATGTTGGTGGAAAACATCCTATGTAGACCTAGCTTTGTCTGAATTCTCACAAGTGCTGGCCTTCAAATCGAAAAAGAAAGGTCCCCTTGAGATGCTTCAGCAATGGTTTTGCATGGTATGTTGGAGACAAGGTTAATTAGTTCCCGAAACAGAAAGCAAATATTTGAATAGTCTTAGCATCTTGAGCCAATTATTATTTCTGATCATCATGGGGACCCATTCAGGTCCTTCTTTACTGGGGAAGTTGCTTTGCTCATATCTGAGAGTTTTTAAATGATAGAGCTTATGTATGTTATCCCCAGGGTTTAAGAATCCCAGATGGGAGGAGAGAGAGGATAACATAGAAAAACATGATGTTTTTGAACTATCTCCCAGATCGTATTTTGATATTTATGTCATCTTTTTCATGTTCTAGGCCACAACTTCCACCAACTGGATTCTGGAGTCGCAGAATATTAATGAATTGAAATCTGAGATCTACTCATTAAAAGGACTTCTCCTGAACCGGTATGGATGGAATATGTGAGCAGATGATTGTGTGGAGAAAGGGTTCTTTCCAGGATTCTCTCAGTCAAGGAGAGGAAGGGCATTTCCAACAGGAACTAGCTCTATATCCTGCTATTGCTATTTTAATAATACCACTTTGCACTCCACTATCACTTTCTATTTGCAGGTCTCAAAATGCTTTTCAAACTTGCCTTAAATCACAGAGCGCTTTAGGAAATTAATAAGATTTTTCCTTTTTGTTTACAACAGAGGAATCCTCTGCCATTCACCACAGTCAGGATGCCTCTCACGTAGTTTGAGGTATTGACTGCATCTGCACCTGCATTTTGTTACAGAGAGAGTCATTTCTGGATAACAGTTCAGCTGACCTGTTCATGGTTAGGGCATAGCCAGGATGAAGAGAATCACACTTCAGAAGAGCCTGTTTCTCTTGATGAGCTAGCTCAAGTACAGACATCTTATAATGTACTCGATGTCTGAACTGAGGTGATATAAACCCCAGCCTGTGGGACAGTCATAAGAACAGGGATCGGATCTCAGTTCTTGAGGAAACACTTCTTTTCCCAAGTACCTTACTTAAGAGTTTATCTAGCTTTTCAGCTATTGATCCTTTCACTTTGATATGACTCCCTTGCCTCCTTCTACATGTAACTAAGTCTTCTCAAGTCATCTGTTTCCTAAGAGATGGACTTCAAAGATCAGTCCAGGATTGGACTAGACATGTTCTGGATCTCAGCAAGTGTGGTTTTCAGAAGTCTGAAAAGTGTATTGGCTTTAATATCCTTTTAAATTCTCACTACACCTCCCATTCCTCCCAAGAGTCACAGTAGAAAAGCTTTGGAGGACAGAGGACACAAGTTGCTGTCTGTTAAGTTGAGTCATACTAGCATCACTGCTGGGGAGAAAGCATTACTTAATGACACCTCTTCAGCAATGGGAAAGTTGCAGCTGGGGGATAAGTGCTTTTTGGAAAAAAAAACTTTTTGGGGGGTTGTTTTTTAACAAAAAGGCAAATGTTTCTGCAGTGAGGAGGCAGCAGCAACATCAGAGCCAAGAAAGTCTCCAGATTGAATTTGTTGATTGCATTTATAATACTGGTTGAATATGCAGACATTAGCTTATTGCACTCACAGGAGATGGGGGTTAGATCAGCAGTTCTTCGATGGCTGGTGGTGGCAGCAGGAAAGGGAGGTGAGAGCAACTACTGTTCCCAGTTCAGTCTAAGAAAAAGTAACCCGCTATGTTTGAGCGCTCACTGTAGGAGAGCAGTCAGCTTTTGTCTGCTCTGGTCTTGTCTGTGTCACTAGCCAGCTCATCTGAGGGGTATGAGAACTCCCTGCCACACAGCATCTTTTCAGAGCTTGGTCTGATACCTCTTCATACTCCCACTTTTTGTATGCACAAGCAAGGACGCATGGGGAGTACTAGATCAGACATGCTTTTTTGCTTTGCTCTTCATGATAGATGACTTTCTGAGGGCACCAGTACTCCCCACTGCACTTACATTTGTCCTGTTTGATACTTGGATTCTCCTGTTAGGGCTGGGCATTAGCCTGCCACCAGCAAATCCTTGAAGCCCACCTGGAAACGACTCGAGGACAGAACAGCCAGCTTTCTCAGCTGGTGCAAGCTAGTATGACTCCTTTCAAGTCAGAGAAGCTGAACCAGTTTGTGGCAGCCAGGACCTGGCCCAAACATGTAAAGTGCATGCTGGGACTAGGAGATAGGTTGTGGATTGTAATGAGCCAGCATGCAATAGCTGTGTATCACAGTGGAGGTGACGACCAGGTGGTGAAACTCCTTGGCTCAGGCACAAGGACCTGGTGTGTCTGACTTCTTGCTCCAGTGGGAATTTTCTTTACCAATTAAATAGTGGTTGTTTTATAAAGGGACACTCATGTTCTTCCACAGGCAGCATTCCTGAGTGCTAGCTTACTCTGTGAAACTGGCCAAACCAAGTCATTTTAGTACTAAAGGTTGCCCAGCTGTGATATTTTCCTGGTGTGCAGGCTCGATTACTGGGTGCTTGTAAAGCACTTTGAGATTCTGGCTGAAGTGAAGTGGCTTTGCTTTTGTTCATTTATGACAAAGGAGACTTGCAATGTCAGTCCTGCTTTACATGACTTCTCCAGTGCAAATACCATTCTCTCTCTGATGATAACCCCTCAGTGTTTTTAATAAAAGCCCCTTTTTCTCCTTTTGTTCCCCTCTTCCCTTCCCCCAAGGAGGCAGTTCCCTCCCTCCCCTTCGGCTCCTAAGATCCCGTCATGGCAGATCCCAGTGAAGCCAAGCTCACCCTCCAACCCTGTTGTGGCCAACCATAATAGCAGCAGTGACATCTCACCTGTCAGCAACGAGTCTACCACCTCATCACCAGTCAAGGAGAACCATAGCCCTGAGGGCCCGAAGGTCAGCTGCCATCTGCTGAGCGCAGAGGAGGGCAACAAGGCAGTGATTGACGTCAAGAGCCAAGTGCGGATGGAGGTACAGGGTGAGGAGGAGAAAAGGGAAAACAAAAGGAATGAAGAGGAGGAAGAGGACGATGAGGATGACGATGTTAGCCATGTGGATGAGGAGGAATGTCTGGGTGTCCAGACTGAGGACCGTCGAGGAGGGGACGGTCAGATTAATGAGCAAGTGGAAAAGCTACGAAGACCTGAGGGGGCCAGCAATGAGAATGAGATTGACTAAGACACCCTGGCTTCTGCTGCTGCTGCTGCTGTACATCTTCCCTAGCCTCCTGCACTGTCCCTGGTGCCTCTCCCATTTTGTGGAGAGAAGTGCCACTAATCCCCTCCAGTGATTCTCCCATGATTGACCTTGAGTAGGGTCATGATTGCCCAGTGAGCAAGGTGGGCCCTGTTTCACCACAGGGCTTTGCAATGTTGCAGTGGCTTCTCCCCTCCCAGACCCACCTTCTCCCCATGAGCTGGGGTCACTGCCTGGGCTGGAAGACCAATCGCCTTACCATGCACCACAGCTACAGAATAAGTCCTCTTACAAAAACACAATCTCTCCTGAAACAGTCAGCCTCTTTGCTGCATCCTAAAGTCCTTCTATCCGATTTCAGAAACCAGTCTGTCCTGAGCTCTTTGATTTCACAAGCCTTTAATCCCCACATAAGGCCCAAACCAGTTCTCTGTTTCCCAAAATAACCCTCTGTTTTATTTCTCAAACTACTTGATATTCTGTTGCCAAAAAAAAGAGCATTTTAACCCTGAATTCCTCACCAGATCTCAGTCTTGGCTCTTCCAAGCCTTATGTCAAGCGTCAAATTCCTGAAACTACCTAGCATCCAAAACCACTAAATTTCTGTGGGGTCCAAAGAAAACAAAATTCCACCCCACATTCTTGCACTCATCAGAGTGGCCTCTTGCTAGGGACCAAGTCCAGGTTTCATGGCCAAAGTAACATCTACAAGAACAGGTGGCTTTGTTACTGATTGCTCCCCAGTAAAAGAAGAATTTAAAAGAAGTTGACCCCACTTCTCCTAATTATTACCCTTTCTCCTCCAAAGACAAGGAGCTCACATCAATTTTTGACCTCTTACATTTTATTTATAGCTGTCCTGAATGAACGAGGTGATATCAGATGCCGAAATAGTTGGTTAATTCTGAATCTTTGCAATGGTTCTTAGCCTGGTTTTCTCCCTAAATGAGGAGAAAACCCATCTTAAGTGATCAGCTGAGACCTGCACCCAGTGACAGGCACCTGCTTCAGCAAAGCAGTCTTTGCAGAAGAGAGAAGTGTTCCAGCTCTGAGGTACAACACTGGCCCTTCTTGCCCAGTCTAGCCTTTTTTTGCCCCATTGGGGCTATACACAAATTAAAACGGTGAATTTTGAAACCTCTCATTTGCAGCATTGTGTTCTCGGCTGGTAAAATGGTGGTGTCCAATTATATTACTCACTGCATCAGAGCCTCTTAGCAGAGCAATTCTTGTAACAACTGAGTCTCACTGTCCTCACCAAGCAAGTGTGCTCGTTTGTGTGATCATGTATAGATTTCAAATATAAAATACGATTGTATATAATTGTAATAAATATGAGTTACCACTATTTAACACCAGGTTGTTATTGGATTACTGTGGCTCTTCTCTTGGGGAGAAATATGCATGGAGGGTGGTAAAGGGGGGGAAAAGAGACTATTACAGAAATTCGGTCCTTATAAAATGTTTTCTGAAGGACATTTATGGTTGATTTTCTGACTTCTCCAATACTAGATTATATCAGCAGGAGGCAGTGTAGAGAATGGTGCAAGTGCAATACAAATAGCTCCAACACCACTGTCATGCTTGCTTGCCTTCGATGTTGCAGAGGGTGAGATGGATGTATCATCCAGTGAGTAAAATGCAGTTATTCTGGTTCCTTTCCTCCCAGCAGGAGGCTCTGCAGGGTGCAGAATGCAGCATCCCGCTCCTTTCCACCCCTGGCAGCAGGAGGTGCTGAAGGGCGTGTGTGAGACATCCCATGGCCCCTTAGGCTTATCTACCAGCAGGGAATGCTGTGCCGTATCCCATGACTGGTCTACCCCTGCCATGTCAGTACAGAAGCCATTGAAAGAAATGGTGTACAGCAAGTAATTTGTAGCTACTGCAGTCCCATCTTTGTTCAACAGAAGTATTTGGCTCCCTTCTTAAAAATGAGGGATTTACTTGATTCCTGAGTATTTGGGTGTCTGGTACACAGTGACATTTTCCTGCTCAGGGGGAGCGAAAGGGACCTTCATATTACTGTATTTAGACCTGCTGCTGAATGTGATGATTTCTCATTCCTTAAATGGACGAATATCTTCCCCAGGAGTGAGTGAGTGTGTGTGTGTCCCTCTCTCCCCCTCTCGGTCTCTCTCTCCACTGTTTAACATTCACAAAGAACGTCACGTTTAGCTAAAACAGGGCAAATTTGAAAGTGTTTAAAAGGAAAGGCTTTTCTTAAGAGATGGCACTTTTTGTTTCTCCAAGCCAAGAATCCTTGTGAAAAGAAAACATGACTGAACCAGAGATGTGATGAAAAAGTATTGTCCTGCCTGTGTACATTTTATATACATAGAAGGTTTTGAAAATAGAAAGTGCCTGGACAACAGCAGTTGGTGAAATGTGGAAAATATGTTGCTGAGGTATGTGCCTTGCAGAGTGACTTACGAGGTTTACAGTACAAGCATCCCTGTGGGTTCATTCTTCCCCCCTTTTCCTCCATGTTGCCAGTGTTCAATTCATTTACCTCAAGATTTCTGGTGCAGAGTAAAAGGCAGTTTTCTTCAACTGCCCTTTTCTCTCCCTTAGTTTTTGCTTCTTACAACCTTCAATAGATCACAGTTTTTCCCTTCCCCAACCTGATGAATCCCAGAGAACTCCATCATAGCTGTTCTTGCTCAGAAAATCTAACTCTGGGCCTCTGGCTGCTGATGGGGTGTTTCTGTACTTTGTTGAAGAGATCCAACCTACCAGCAGAGAATTTGGAAGAAGCCAGACCTTCTTAGCAACAGGTATTGTCATGAATCACAAGTTTTACTCCTCTGTCTTGTGTTCCTTGTCTTTCCAGCATAGCAACAGTTGTAGAGCGAGTATTTTTGTCCTTATGAATTGTGTAGCCTGACTGCTAACTTGTAATTTTTTTTTTTTTTTGCTAGAAACAAACTTCTTAGATCAGCTGCCCTGTGAAATGTTTAGCCCAATGGCCAGTAAGTAGGCACTGAGAATGCCATCATATTAGCTGAAAGATGACCAGGTAGCGAACGTTTTTTCTGCAGAACAAGAAAAACAGCAGCAACAGTTACCTACCGTCTGGCTTATTCAAGTACTGTATTTTACTGTGTAATCAGCCTTTGCTTTGGCACAGGAAGAAGAATAACAACACACCGGCTGGTGAGTTCAGTGGGTTTGTAATGTGATTTCTATAGGTCCTTGATAGTGTATAGAAAGCAGGTGAAGGGAGCTTCCTCTGAACAGTGTCATCTGAGAACATTTCAGTGAAACCCTGTAAGCCTCTGGTCTCTTCGAGGAAACAATATCAGGCTGGTGCTTTCCAGTAATTTGAGGATATAAAAGCTCCCTTTTCAATAGCTGCAAGAGAAATGTGGGGAACTCAAAAAATGTGACAAAGTAGGAAAGGGTTAAGAGAGATGTCTCCTGATCATCTTTGTCCAACCTTTCCTATGTGCATCTTTGTCAGAAGCAGGAAGAATTTTTTTTAATTGTCTTTTGCATGTTGGGGGTGTAACCTAACAGTGTTTGGGATCAGAAGGAAGAGGATGGACTGTAGGATCCCTTGTGATCTTGCTGCTTTGCTGCATGACGCTTTGCAGAGTATTTTACTTATAAGCGTGCATCAGTTTCCACATGTGATGGTAAAAAATACTGGCTGGTAAATACAGAGATGCAACAAAGACAAGTTGCAGAGAAAGCCAACTTTGGGAACCACGTTTCATGCTACGTTCTGCAATTCGCACAAAACCCACACCCCCATGAACTGCTGTGCCCAGGAGTGAGAGCCCCAGCCCCCGTTGCTGGCTGTGCTTTGGAGCAAGGCTGCAGCACAGCACCCAGCTGTAACCACTGTCCCCTAATAGCCTGGACTGCACAGCTGAGTGAGAGGAGCTGCACTACCATCCTGGAGCAGCCTGCTTGGTCAGTTAGCGAGCTTGCCCTGGCTTGGAGGCAGACATTTTAGACCTGGCCTTTCCTTATTGCAACTCAGGTTCTTCTGGCAAGTAAGTGTTTTTTAATAACTATGTTCTCTCTTGATTTTGTCTTCAATAGAGTGGGGGAACTGGCTGCATTCCGAGTGGCTACCTCACCCTGGTCTGGGCTTTGTTAGAAGGGTTGCCAGAAGGTCTATCCTGATGTGTAGTGGTGGAAGGAAGCATGGTGTATGCTGGGCTGCTGCCTGTGCCAGGGAGGGGGCTGTGGAAAAACCCCGTCTGTGTCTACTCTGTTGCTCTCATTTGCAGTGTCTGCTACAGAAATGGAGGCTGCCTTTGCCTTTGCTTTGGTGAGGCAGTGTGATGCTTGGGGAAAACAAAGGCTTAGACAACAGGTCCAGAGTAGCTTTTTGTTGCATACCTATTGTGAAAGTCAAGGTCTCCATGCTTGACTAGACCCTCCACACCCAGCAGGTTGTGGAGCACGTGTTGCCCAAAGGCTTTGACAACAGGAAGCTTTGGAAGGTCCCTTCTTTGTGTTGGTGCTTTATGTTAAAGCACAAATTTTATGTGGTGGTCACTCTGCACACCAAAAAATGATGTTAAGCTTGAGCTGAGAGTCTTCCAGCCTGGACTTGACCTCTTATGCCATTGGGTGGTATGCAAGTGCAAAGCACAAGAAAGGCTGGGCCTCCAGGGATTGAAAACATAAATAAAGGGATGCTGGGAGGTGAAACATAGGAAATTATTTACTTAAGGGCGCAGAAGAGAGCTTCCAGCTTTCTTAATTTTCCTTTTTATTGTCTTATCCTCAGACTGTGCTGCTTCCCCAGGAGTCAGCCTCATTAGGCACCTTTAGAACTGTGTCCACCTATTATGCTGATGGAAGGCTGGCTCTTACCATTACGTACGTTCTCAAAAAATGGAATAAAATAATGGAAATGCACCTAAGGTGAATTTCAGGGTATCAGGGAAGAGGGAAGATAGAGGGCAGGGCCCAATTCCTCCACTTGCTGTGCAGTAGAAGCTCTGAACTGTGCACTTGTAGATTGAGGGGCTGGCATGGTCTCTCCCAGCTCAGGGAAAAAAACAATCTCATCCCCAAAAGGGAGCAAGCACTAACCTAATAAAGGCACCAGCTGGACGAAGGGAAAACCAGCTCTTTGGAAAAAAAAAAAAAAAAAACCAACCTCCTTTCATTAGAAAAATAATATATTTCATCCAAATAAGGTAAAAATATTTGAAATGGGGCAGAAGTGAGCACTAGGCAGCATCTGTCAGGCCCTTTCTGAAAAGGGGAAGATTATTAAACTCAATTACAATTTATTTTTGTAAAGTGTCTTTCAGACTAAAAATCTCCCCAAATGCTTTGCAAGGACTGCTCAGGGGTTACTTACAATATGGAGCATCTTAGAAGAACACCCCTGTTTTGCCACCAAGTCCTTCTTTCCTGTACCTGCTGAAGGATTTAACCCTTCAGGATTTTTTTTTTCTTCTATATGTGTGCAAATAATGAGAGATGTTTTA